GCGAAAATGCAACGCGAATTTGCGATAATGGAGATCGCGTTGCGAATTAGCGATCGCATTGCGATTTTGTTGGTCATTTTGGCAAATCCGGAAAAAGTTGGTTAAAATCGTATATTATATGGGATTTTTGGTCACTGAGGTTATTTTCTCATTATTTTATTTTATTTTGATTATTTGTACGTATGTGTTCAATTCAAATTTTATTATATGTTTTATTACATATATTATTTAGGAATAATTTTCATAAAAAAAATTCATATTATATATTTTTTTTAAATTTTCTATTAATTTTTTCACATTATTTGATATGATATTTTTTTGTACAACTCATCCGTGTAGCATAAATAAAAAAGTGTAGCAATTAGCACATACTTACACCAGTATAAGTATGTATATTTCCCAACCTACAAAATAAATACATACTTACACCGGTGTAAGTATGTATATCTCCTAATATTTTAGTACTTAAAAATAAATAAAGAATTATATTGGTGTAAATATATTTTAATATTTTCGAAGAAATAAATAATTAAAAATAAAAAAAAATATGTACTAAGTTATTTGTGTACAAATTTTATTTAAAAATATTAAAATTAAAAATATTAGAAAATTATATTTTCTATGAACTTTCATGTAAATATGTTGACTCTAATTTTGAGAATTCTATTTGTTAAAAAAGAAAAAATATCTCAAGGATAATTTGATCAAACATATATTTATCTTATCTTATATTCTTTCAGCCAAACATTATCTTACATTCCTAAATGCTACATTTTTCTTAGTGTTTTAGGAGGGGAGATACACAGCAGTCGGCAGTTAAAAACCTTTTGATTTTCTTTATTTATGCAAAGGGTAAAATTTTGTTGAATCCTCGATTATAGGGTACTTCATTTTTTAATACTTCAACTATTAAAAATTATAAAATGGTCCTTTAGGTATAAGACAATATTTTGTTGAATCAGCTTTGTTGCCTTGTTGTGGTGCCTCGTTGAACCTAAATGGAGAGACAACTTCCCAGGTTCTGAATACCTGAGCCATCACGTTTCTCATTACCTGCAAATCCGCCCTGTAATAAGAACTTGGAATGAAGCTGTACGACAGTTGGGGCCTGTTCCATCTAGGTTTCCCATCGAAAACTTTGTGTTTGATTATGAGGGATGGTACCAGGGGAACCGCAACGAGGGGTCTGCATAGCTTTGATTGTGTCAGGATCAACCTTTCCAGTTACTTTTAGATTATAAAATCCCTAGAACGCTTCAAGTGCAGACTCTAAACCCTCATCAAATTCATCATCAAACATAGTAGTGTTTTCATGAGGAGGATTGTAGTAGCCCAAGGTATCTAGAAATTGGTTCACTTCATCAATCCCCCTAACAATGTATCCTTTTCGGGCTTCCTCAAGAGATTCTAATTTTAGAAGTATAGATTCTAATTTAGGGCTTGAAATGAGGCTCTTGAAAAGGGGATTAATAGTTTTACCTTATCTAAACTTAACTGAGATTGAAATCCTTAAAGCTTTGATATTTGCTTCACTTAGAAGAGATGGAAGGAAAGAGGAAGAGTGTTTGGTGAGTTTTTAGGAGTGGTTCACGTAAAAATCATAGAAAATAAGGGGTTTTTAAGCTCTAGTTTTGAACAATGGGTTTATTCACTTTTGGTCCTCTTCATTTTTACATCTTAATAAACTTACCCCCAAAATCCTATCACTTGGGCCCAAACTAGGTCCAAACTAAGCCCAAATTCCAACTTAACTAGATCCAAACTATTCTAATAAGTCTTTTAGGCTCTATTTATAGGTCTCTGATCAACCCGAACTATTAACCCGGGATTTGGGACGTTATATTTAGACTATAAAATCCCTAGAACGCTTCAAGTGCATACTCTAAACCCTCATCAAATTTACCATCAAACACATTGGTGTTTTCATGAGGAGGATTGTAGTACCCAAGGTATCCAGAAATTGCTTCACTTCATCAATCCCCCTAACAATGTCTCCTTTCTGGGATTCCTCAAGAGATTCTAATTTTATAAGTACAGATTCAACCATTAAAGGTTGCACCACAATGAAGGCAAGAAAGGCTCCAAAAAATTGATGAGAAAATTTCATTGCCATTGCGAGCTTGGTAAAAGTGTTTTAGGGCGTGAGTTTTGGTGTTTGCCTTACCTCCTATTTATACTCAAAGCTTATGCATGGAAACTTGGATCATACAAGAGTGAGAGAAGAATATTCATCAGGCTATTAATACAAGTTAGGTACCATGTTGGGCTACTTCCATTCTAGCCGTCGTGCATTCAATTCCATTCTAGTTTTCCTGCACTAAATTTTAATATTTACCGTAAATCAATTGATTTAATGGATTGAGACATTAAATTTTTAAGGTCAATGTTTAAAACTTAATGTTATAAATGAAATAAATTGAGTTGAGATTATTGCTCTTATAATGAACCTTTACAAAATCCTTTTCAAACCATTTGAATTTTAAAAAAAAATATTTAAATTCTAAAAAATTAATCAGTGTTAAATTTATGCTTGGAATAAATTCCCATCCATAGTTAAGTTCAGTTTGTGTCGTATATGACATGTCAATTATAGAGGAAACAAGTGATATTGAAATTAGTTCTATATGGAAAAAAAATTGATGGCCATAATAATATCACATTACATACTTGAAGAAAAGTGGGCTATGTGCTAAAGTTAAGCTAGGTTGTTCAATCTGGTTATGAGTGGAAAGAGATTAGCTCCTAACATCACCCATCTAAAGCAATAACTAATTAATGTTATGTATACGGTCTTAATTAAATTGGGACCCCATGAGTGAAAAATTAAATAAAAAAATAGTAGAGATTGGTAAATACTTGAAAGTATTTAGAACAAATATTACTTTGTAATCACTTTAGTTCAATAAAAAAATATAATAATTAATATTCATGATTGATAAATAGAAAATAAAAACAAAATTTGACGTTACCCTGAACGTAGGCGGGAAAAGAAAATAAAACGTTTAATGATAATTGAGCGATGAAATGGTGTAGTTTAATAAAGGATAAATTACGTGTTTAGTGTGTAAACTATTGATTTTAGTCCTTTTAATATCTAAACTTTTATTCAATTATTTTAAAACCATACATAAAGTTTAGTTTTCGTTTCATTTTAGTATTATATTGTTAAAAATTTTAGTTTCTATTTCATTTTAGTACCTCGTTCAAAATTTAACGTTAAGTTCTTAAAAGTTTATGATACATGTACTAGAGTCCATAACAATGACAACACATGCTTCTTTGGACAAATGCTTATACTCGAACCTATTAGAAGAACAAAGTCTCGAAGATTCAAAGCATATCTACTCGATAAGTATAGTATGAGTGGATTCTTAAAAGGCTCTAATGTTTCTCCCTTTGACGTTACAGATTCGAGGTCGAATCCTTTTGAAGAGAGGGAGGATGATACATGCATCACAAGGCTCACATCAAAGGAAAATAGACTAACATTTCCAATGGACTCACACGACCAAGCCTTGGAAAAGAAGAATAGCATATCAACATACTTGCGAATGTTTTTTGAATGGGATCCTGATGTTATTTGGTCGATATTCTTCCGGATTTACGACCTACTATCTCTAATCTTTCCAACGGTTCTTGATCACATCAATCCGATATCGAGAAATCAAAATATGACAATTTTAGTGAAGACAATTAATGCAGAAATTTCTATACGGGATTAATACGAGATTTTGTAAATATTACGAATTTTCAATATTTTTATTAATTGTTTGTAATATAATTTAATATAAGATGATGCCTCATTTTTTAGGATTAGATTTATTATTTTATTAGAAATTAAGAGAGAGTTAAAATAATTTAGTTTATTGTTATTTTATTAGTTAGTCATGTTACTACGATGACTCTCCAAACACTATATAAGGAGGCCCTCCCCCTCATTGTAAACATCAACTTTTCTTCTTTTATATACAATAGAACGAGAGTTCGTTTTTGCAAAAGCTGATTGTCTTGTGCCTTCGAAGCATATTCTTCTTTAGTTCTTTCGAGTTCTTGAGAGAGAGATCTTCACACTCCAGTTTACCTTTTTATTTTGATCAGGAGAGCTAGTTAGAGCCGTATTATCGAGTTTGTCTTTTCATTGCGACTACGAGGGTTTGATATGACATATCCATCTATCTATTCCACACGCCATCTTCATTATCAACAACATTCATCATTCACGCCAACTTTATCCAAAATACTAGGTTTGCGTTAGGGTAAATTTTCAATTGCATTTTTCTCTTAATCTAGTCATTCGATTTCTATTCCGTCTTCACCATCCCTTCTCTCTTTTCATCCTTTTTCCAACGAGTATTTACTCATCAAGATCAAACCATTACACCATTGGGCACCTATTATAAGGGAGATAAGAACATCTTTCTTTTATTATATACTTTATTCTTGTCTTTAATTCTTTATAATTTTTATTACCCTTATTTTTATTGTCTTAAATCTCATCTCTTTGTTTATTTTCCAGCAACTAAAAGTCTCCCAAAACTCTAATCTTTGCCGCCGCCGCCTTCAAGTACCCATTCAAAACCATCCATTTCTTCATCAAGTCTAGAGCTTTCCTAGGTTTGTTCCCTCGACGAGAGCAACATTCACATCATCCGCTACCTCTTATTTATCAGTTTAGGTATTAAAATGGGCCAAAACTGATAGTTTAGGTAGAAAACATGTTAAGTTTTTTACGACGGGATAATAAAATGAAATGAAAACTAAACTTTATGTATGATTTTGAAAAAATTAAAAGTTTAGATAATAAAACGGATCAAAGCTAATAGTTTAGGTTCTAAATTCGTAGTGTACCCTTTAATAAAATGTTTACTGGAAATGTTTTTAAACTTTAGTGATTAAAATAGGAATGAGAATATAGTTGAGTGATAAATGGTGTAGTTTACCCTAACAAATAATAGAGAAGCAAGAAGGAAAAGGGGGGAAGCGAGGGGAGAAAAGGGCTTGGATTGGATGCCATTGTCCATTTCAGAAGTGTTGGGCGTGCCGCACCCCATCTCTTTTAATTTTTTGTTTGGGTAAGCTGTCTTTAATAAATTCCCCTTTTCTATTTCTATGTAATTGATTGCAAGTGATCAAAAACCAAAATTGAATTTTGTGGTTTACTTCATCTTCTGTGTTTGTTGTCAAGTTGTGATAGTCTGTTTTGATGTTATTATATTCGTAGTATGTTGCTTCAACCATTTTGCTAACCTTGTATGAGCAGGGACTGATAAAACTATGCTGGGGAAAAGGAAAAAGAAACTAGGATGAGAATCCGTAGGGGATTGATGGAATTAATTACCCATTAGTAAACTTAATTCTTAAGCATTTCCCGTTGATTCTAGATTTCATGCTAATCCTTTGCATTATGATGTTATGTTAGACACATTTGCTGAAATATTTAATGTCGCTTATGTTTTTTCTTTTGATGTTTAAGAAGCTGGACATGTTTTTTTTTTTCTCTTCATTTTTGTCATGATGTTATGTTTTCTAGCTTTAATCACCTGCTGCTATCTGATTATGTAATATGAAGATCCTTATCTAAGCCTTTTCTAGAACCCTTCAATGAACTGCAGACCTTAATGCTAGTTGTTATTTAGTACAAGTGGACCTTTATAGTTACAAATATTTTTGTTTGAACCGGAAAATCAGAAAAGACATTACCAAACCACTGGTATGGTGTATGCGATGGTTAAAAATTGTCTGCTAGAGGGTACTATTAACAATCTTGATAAGAAGTCTTGGAACATATCTGATGCAGGAAGTTGAATTAGTCAATACTGATAGTCCTTTCATTTGGGCTATGTTTGGTCAAAATGAGTTGTTATTTTCCTTTTTTAGCTCTTTTATTTTGAAATGTGATCGGGGTTTTCGCGAGGTAAGGAGTTGAGTAGATGGTTTAATGGCTAGCAGAGGGAAACACACAATTATTACCTATCATTTCTGTTACTCTTTCTTTCCCTTTTGCATGTATTCTTTTCCCCTATCTTCTCTATTTATGGAATCCAAAATACCTGCATCACATATAGATTTTCTGATTTCTTTATTGTATAAATTGTTAATTTATTTTCCTAACAGCACATCATCAGCAATAGGCAGACATGGAGTCAAGCACAGCGAGTGAGAAAAAGAAGCTGAAACGCAGAGAGGTAAAATCATAACATAGGGTTTTTATTTATCCACCTTCAATAGCAAACAAGGATCCTTTTTAGATATTTATCATAAAAGTAATTGATGGATACTTTTCTTTTGGCTTTTGGGCTTTCATAGAATAGATACTAGAGAAAAAGAAAGCGATAGACCAACTCCTCAAAGCTGCTTCTGCCCAAATTGACCATCTTGCTTCTTTCCCTTCCTTCCGCTGTTTCAACAGAAATGGTAATTCCCTATCACCCTTTTTTCCATATATTTTTCTAATAAATAAAATTATTTGTTTTTGGAAGAGTTGACAATATTGATCAAATCATTACCAGGCCTTTGTTTACACTTGGAATCGGGGCATGGAGATAAGCTATCCCATTGTACGAAACAATACATTCAAAACCTCTTGAAGGTAACAATTTTAATTTGCAAATACTGAATTGCATTTTTATGTTTTAATTGAAATCTTTGACAGGTAAATATGGAGGGTCCGTATGGATCGGAGTGGGCAATCGAAGAGAAGGTGAAACGGAAAGAAATGGTTGCTCCAGAAGCACGCTATATATTTGTACTCAGCAATCCCAATGATATGATGGACAGTGCCCCCACTCCCTTGCTTGGTTTCCTACATTACCGCTTCACTCTGGAGGAAGAAATGCCTGTTCTTTATTTATACGAATTGCAGCTGGATTCCTCTGTCCAAGGGAAAGGGCTCGGAAAATTCTTAATGGAATTAGTTGAGCTAATTGCTCAGGAGGTTAATAATCTTTACTAATGCCCTTGAGTTTATTCATTGTGTTTAGTAGAATTTAGGATAATGTTCTCAATCAAATGTTGCTTTAAACTCTATCAAGCTAAATTTGAGGTTCTACGATGTGATTATTTGCTTTGCATTTTATCCTTCTCTTAGAATCGGATGAGTGCCGTGGTGTTAACTGTTCAAAAATCAAACTTGTCGGCCATGAAGTTCTATATAAGCAAGCTAAGGTAAGATTTTCACTGTCTAGTATTGTTGTTTACTTATTGATGGAGTCACTTACAGCAATCCCTCCTTGTTTTGTATAATCTTGCCATTCCTGCTTTGCACTTGTGTTATGTGCTGCAAGGCTAAGATATGAGCAGCAAATTGATAGACACAAAAGGCAAAGAACTCAGAAGGAGAAATTAGAACTTGGTGAAACTGAAAGAACTGCAGTGAACAAAAGCAAGATAAAACAATGTAACCGTTCAATAAATCTAGAGGCTAAGGCTCTGGTTTCTGTAAGCAATCTAAGGCTTATAATGAATCTAAGTTATGCTGCATCTTGTATCTCCCTTGTTACCCTGGAATAAGGTTGTCACTTTCATTTCCTTTCTTGGCTTTTGTCTGTAATTATCCTGTTGCAGAAATTGACATACCTAGAAAACAAATTTATGAAAATGTTTCTAAAAAGAGACCATCAAGGGTCCCCCCCCAAAAAAAAACACCCCTTCTATTTGGACCTGGTACATTTCTGAGCATTCTTAGTAAGGCCCTTTTCTTCTTCGGACTACGGAGATGCATCAAAGAACAAAATTATTTTTTCTTTTTAGAATTAAGATGTACATGACGTTTTAATTATAGCAGTGTACGAACCAAGTTGAAATCTGTATGTAAATTATATGCCAGTCTGTGGCCATATGTTGCATGTTTCTTTTGAGCATGTCTACTCGTGCAAATGGGGAAATGCTTTGGTCTAGGTTTGGTTTTATGTTTTTCTTTTGCTTTATATTGTTGAAACAATGAAAATGTACCACTTTTGTGCAGATATGTGGTATCAAGTATTTCGCCATCTAGAGTCAATCAATTCGTAAGGAGTTCGATTTCATAAGCATTATAATATGTTATACATGACTATATTATTTTGAGTAATTTTTACCCTTTTACGCAGGCTGGAGTAGAAAACAACTACGAAATTCTTTGCAAAACATTTGATCATGAAGCTAAAGCTGTATTGGAGGTATATTCAGTTTAGCATATTGGTGCTATTATCATCCTCGTAAATTTGTCCACATGCATTGGTACTGCCTGAAGGTAAAAGCCACACATTTGCACTAAGACTTTAGTTGATAGTTAGAATCCAACCCCAACTTTTCGATTTACATTTGTTTTCATCAGGTGAAAAAAGCAGACGCCCTGTCAAAATTGCTTCCAATACCATTTGACCACTCTAAAAGTGTTGGGTTGAACTGTTGATGCAGGCTTGCTAGGAGGGTAGGGTTTATGGCTGCTTTTTCGGATTTGAATTTTGAAGACTAACAGGGAAAATTGAATGAGAAGAAGCAAATTGTCGGGTTGCATCTCATAGGGAGTAAGGACGATTCTCCCAATCTAATGTACCCCATTAATAATAACATCAAGATTTGAACTACTGATCTTAAAGAATTTGAGAGTATAATTTTTAATTTATCAACTGCTCAATATTTCTTTCTTACATGCATTGCTGCAAAACATTCTATATCATCCGCTAGAGGGTGAGTGTTCAACGATAAAAAAATAATTTTTAGATGTTTCTAGTTTTATTTAAAAAATATTCATAATTAATATGAAGGTTTACGACTGTAAAAGTAAATTAAACACATAATTAAGATATTTTTTATAATAAACTAGCTACTTAAAATCACACAATGATTATACAAGGAAAATGTTAAAAAAACCAAATAAAAAAACTTAAAAAAGATAAATACAAACAAATCTATCTGCATCAGTAAATGAACCATAAAAGGGGATCAAATTATTAAAAGACCATCGAGAAATTATAAATCAGAGTCTAGTGTCATGAGAAAACTATTCACGAATGTAAATTGTTAATCTAAATTTAATCTAAGGCTCTAAATCAGAGATGATCAGTATGGTAACAAATAAGTGACATCGTGATCAGTTATGACAAAGTCAAATTCAACCATGAGGAAAAAGATAAACAAAAACAATGTTTCAATGAAAAAAAACGTGTCAAAAGACAGAGAAAGTGTGTGATAAAAGCAAAATTATTAAAAATTTAACAAAGGAAAAATAAAAAAATAAGAAATGTCTGACGTGGTTACTTATTAACTAAAGATGAAATATATAAGCCAAGTTTAGGAATGTTTTTAAGAGTTGTTCTTATATTAAAATATTATTTTTCTTTGAAGTTAATGAATTTTTTTTGGCACATGTTAATGAATCTATTATTTATAACACTGAAGAATTAACTTTCTTTTTAAACGTACGAAAAGCAATGCTATAGTTCATTTTTTTCGGCAATAGAAGCCGAGGTGGGGATAAGGTAGACATGAATCATGATGACACACTAGTACGTAAAATGTGAGAATAGGAAGAAGAAGACTCTTCCAGTTGCAACAATCCCAGTTGGAGAAAGTTTTTGTTTTGGGGAGATGATGGTTGTTTTCCAAAGAAGATGACATGTCTCTCTCTCTCTCTAACAACCCAAATATTTACAAAAATAATATTTAATTGAGATTGAAGGTTAATTGTATTGACAAAAAAAATTGGAGACTAAATTGAAAGATTTTAAAATTTAGAGTTTATTTTAGAGTTAAAGAAAATTTAGGGACTAAACCCTAAATTTACCCAAAAAAAAGTTAGGTATGTTATGAAATATATGTATATGCGTGGTGTGGATTTCTGTTTCAAAACAGAAAATCACTCTCAAATTCCCTTCCCCCTACGCCGGTTCTCGATCTCGATCCAGACGTCGTCCGAATTTCGATCGTCGTTTTGAAACCACCGTTGTGTTCATCATCGAGCGAGGAATAAACCCTTCAATTTAATTGAAGCGAAACGCCGCCAAACGTCGGGAATTTACAGTCAAAGTCTTGACGTTTTTAATAGCTCTATCACTGGAAAAATCTTAAATTCACCGCCGATCGTCGCTCCGTTTACGACACCTCCTGCACCATCGTGTTCCTTGTGTCGTTTCGAGCCCGCCGGTGTCAACCTTGTTCGCCGTCGACGGCGGCGCGTGAGGAGGTGGAGCAGTCAAAGATTCGGCCGAGTTAAAATCGAGCTCTCCGCCATTCAAAAATTTGAACCGATCTTTGTAAGTATCGCGAAATCGCTCAAAATAATTTTTAGAATTTTTTCCAGAATTTTTAGACCCCCGAAGGACGCCTCACGTACCACACGCGCCGCCGCAGGGAGAGTGGAGGGCTGGAAACCGGTTTGACCGGTCTGACCCTACAGACCCGACGCGACCGTTGACCCGACGCGACCGTTGACCGTTGACCGTTGACTTCCTTTAACCAAAACTTAAAATGGCTTTGACCGAGCATTAAACGACCGTTAATCTTTTCCGAGTATACCTATCCTGATAGTGTTCGACGTGCCGAATCCGTTTCCACTGTCCGTTTCGTCAAATTCGAACCTGAAGGCCTCCAAATCGATGGTCAAAGTGGTTGACTTTGACTTTGACCAAGAATTTGAATTTTTGAAAAGTCATATTTTATGTTTTTCGACGTCCTGATTCCGATTCCGCAGTCTGTTTGGCCAAATTCAGACTCGAAACCCTCCAAATTGAAAGTCAAACCCGAAAAAATGCTTATATACTTAAGAAGTCTAGCTTTGAACAATTAAGTAAGATTTGTGACTGATTAATTATTATTGTTTGAAGGTACAAGAGACTCTCCGGATCGTTCGACAGCACGACCCAGCTCTTCTAGATCAGTTAAACTACGTGTGCCAGTATTCGCCCGTAAGACCCATAACTTTTATGATTTAAAAGATCTATTTATATTACTCATAAGTAATATAGTGTTATTGTAAAATAGGTTCGAAAACTGTAGTAGAGCGTGGTGAAACCAGCAATCAGTAGATTTGCTATTTGAACCTATTGTCGAGGTGTGTTCCCTACTTATTACTGAACTGTTTTATTATGTGGTACACCGAATTCATTGGTTATTGTTTTATGGATGCACTAATTTAATGTGTCAATTTATGGAATATGGCTGCTATCTAATTTTTGTTTTGAAATGGTAAATGATTACCATGTTTTTGGATTTATGGAATTTATGTCACGGTGCAATTGAATTTTGGAATTGAATTACGATGGAATAACTCTGATCAAACTAAATGGGCCTAATGTGACTCTTGAGGGCCCCAAGATGTTTCATTAGATCGGCTTCCCTGTGCTGTGTGCTTAGGGTAAGCTATATGGACTTATTGACTAGGGCTTAAGGATACAAGCTTCATAGCCTATCCTTAAGTCGGCTTTCTTTTTGCTATGTGCATAAAGTAAGGTATATGAAAAATAATTTTGGGAACTACTGATGGTGTACCAGAAAAGGGTTTAAACTATAATTTTCAAAAGTTAAACTCTTTTACGAATTTGTGAGATTTACTGGACTATGATTTGTACCTATTGTGATTTTATAGAAAAGTTGGGACACACTGAGCCTAGCTCACCTTTCGAAAATGTTTTCCCCCTTTCAGATATTGTTGGTTAGATACCTCGGTTCGAGCACTTGGAGGATCAACATATCTCTTGAAGTAAATCAGATTGTAATGTTTTTATCTTGCAAGTTGACTTTATTTTGGTGACATGGACCTTATTTTAAAATATCGAATTTTATAATGATGACTCTTTTTCTATTACTGTTCGGTTTATTGTGATTTTGAATTTGAAGACATGTTTTAAATTAATTTATTACTTATTGGTACTATATTTACGAGTTATATTTTGATAGTATAATTTGTTTATAATTTCATGTTATTTATAATGTGATTTTATATTGATGGAATAACGGTTTCGGAAAATGTCTTTAATAATCATAATGTGATCCACTAGACTTAGTCGAAACGCATAGGCCGGGTCTAGGGGGTTACATTTATTGGTATCAGAGCTTTTGATTTTTAACCCTCGGACTGTGTATGAGTCCACATTGAAAATACGGTTTTGAAATATTTTACAAAACGAGTTACTAAGGCCATGTCACAAAGTTATCAAGATTTTAACTATGTTCGAGACTCCAAGTGCTTATCTAACCTTAAGTTTATCTTCTGTAGTAATCTCGAGATCCACCAAAATGAGTGCTAGACGTGGTCGTCGAACTAGCCGTGGATGAGGTCGAGGGGCTAAATTTATAGATCCGATTGATGAGATACGAGTAGATCCCCCACCTCCGATAGGTGATCCTGCTCCTACGACCCCAACGAATATGCCACCTACCGATGGTATTGGCATAACTACACCGATCATAGGAGCGACCGATATTGATTCAGAGTCTACTGGAGTTGCATTGGATGAGAATTTTAGTAGACAGTTTCTGCAGTTAATACAGGGAGCAGTCAGAGCTACTGGTGTTGTATCTGAGGTTCCTATTTCACAGACGTTGATTACCAATGGAGTTAAAACTTTTGGGGGACAGATTGGTGGAGCTCCTACTGAAGCTGAGGATTGGCTCCAGGATACAGAGAGACGTATGGATCAGTTGGGTTTGGACTCAACTAAGAGATATCTGGGTGCTGTAGCAATGTTAGATGGTAATGCCTACACTTGGTGAGAGTCAGTGACCAGTAGTGTTCCTACCGATCGTTTGACCTGGAATTTCTTTAAGGATCACTTTCGGAGCCATTTTCTGGGAGAGCGCTACTTAGCTTAGAGACGATAACAGTTTCAAGACTTGGTTTAGGGAGACATGACTGTTTCTGAGTATGAGATCGAGTTCTTGAAGTTGCTGAAGTATGGATTCAGTATGGTACCTACTGAGAGAGATCGATGTCGTAAATTTGCCCTTGGACTCAGATACGAGCTGCGTAGGCAAGTTGTAACCCATCAGGATGAAATATTTGATGTGTTGGTGGGCAGAGCCAAAGATACTGAAGAGGTGGAGGTCTTAGCTTCTGGTAGAGAGCGTGTTGATCAGGAACGATCTAAGAAATTTTCAGGCCCGATAGAGTCATCAACACAATCCGGGAAAAGGACTTGTACTTCAGTCCCTCAGAGAAGCAGTACACGTTTCAGGCCTGCAGCATCCTCACCGTTAGTTGGCAGTCGAGGCGGTTCCTCGTCGTATTATCATGGGTTCCTCTGTGAGTTTTGTGGTAAACAACACACAGGAGAGTGTCGTAAAAAATATGGGTCTTTGCTATCAGTGTGGATCTAGTGGTCATTTTCGGAGGGATTGTCCTCAGCTAGCTTCGTCTGAGCAGACCGCTACCCAGACTCCTGTGCATTTACAGACTACAGTACAGACTCCAATTAGAGATCGTAGTCAAGGAAAGACTCGAGGATCAGCGTCCAGGACAGACAGTAGAGCCCGACCTCAGCAAAATAGAGGGCCAACAGTTTCTGAGGCTAGACAACCAGCCTTGGTTTATGCCACTAGACGTCGTGATG